GAACGGCAGGATGAGTCAGCGCCAAGACGGTACCCAAGACGGGCCCACAAATTGCCCCTGCGGTATCGTTAGAGTCCAGATTTGTTGTTGAGGTCATCTAAGGGATGAGGCTCCAGTCTCCCCTGTTTCATCCCCTGCATCCTCCACTCCCCCACTGGAAGAGTTGGCGAGAGCATCCCAGCCACGCCCGAAGTGTCCCATTCAAGAGAGACATCCCCCTGTTGAAGATGAGGACGGCAACTGTGCGGGTCCAGTCATCATCTCAGACGTGGCCGGATGGCAACATCATCGTCTCCCGAAGAGAACTACCGGATGAGCTACAAGCAAGTGTCCGTTGATGAGAACGGGCGTCCCGTCGAGAAGTGAACGACGCGTTCAGTTTAATGTATTTTTTGTTTGTTTATCTAAGGTTTCTAAAGTTTTCTAAGGTTTTAAACAGTTCCAAGTTCTTAAATGTTTTCTTAAAAGTTTTGTTGAAAGCTTCATAAATGTTTTTATAAAAGTTTATTTTCGGTAAGGAAAAAAAAAGTGTATTTATCTAATGGAAAAATTCGTTGTTTAAACTCTGTAAAATTTATCCCAGTTAAATCATGTAAATTTCGATTTGCGAAAATCTTGCCATCCAATTTAGTGTACATTTCATCAGTCTTAAATTATCCTTAAATTTCAGCTTTAAATCTGTGTAAAATAAGTGCAAATTTCCCCTAATTTCTTGTGAATATTTAATGAAATAAAATTTGGTCTAGACGAGTGTAATTTTCCTTAAATTTCTTGTAAATATTTAATGAGCAAAATTTTGATTCAGATGCTGTACGATAAATCCCTGTGAAATCATGTGAATATTTAATTAGCAAATTTTGGTGAAGTTGTACATGTACATGGATTTTCGACACGTTGTACTATGCACTTAGAATCTTGTGCATATTTAATGAGCTGAATTTTGGTGTTCTTGCACATGTGAAACACTTGTACATGTTAAGCACATGTACACATGTAAAGTACATGTGAGGAAGGTACATGTTAATGAACTTTAATATCAGCTTCCTCTCTTATGTTTTCTTTTGAATTTCAAAGATGAAGTTAAACTTTATGTTTTCTATTGTAATTCAAAGAAAAAGTTAAGCCTGATGTTTTCTTTTGAATTTTATGGATGAAGTTAAGCTTTAAGTTTTGTATTGAATTAGTTGGACGCAGTTAAGATGTAGTCACACTTTCCTTTTATTTTTGTATTATGGCTTTAGAGTATGGGGACATCCTCTGCCATGCTCGGGCCCTTGTGGCGGAAAGTGTTTAGTTGTGACGTCATACCATAGCACTAACGCTTAATCACTTGTGTGCAGTGACCGGGCGGAGCTTACGAGCTCCGTGGGCTGCTGCGCGTACGTGATTGGCCAATAATTCCCCATAAGTTTAGCGCACCATAGGGTTAGTACACGCACATGGTTTGTAGACATGACGTAGCGTCTACATGTACCTGGTATATAAATGCGTGCCTGGGGAGCGCGCTCTGTTTAGAAGTTTGGGTTTTGGTAGCGTTTTAGCGGTTTGGTTTTAGAACGCGCACTGGTGTTATTGTTGGGACTGATTGATACAGTTGTGACAATCGTTGTTAGGTGAGATACTGGTTGTGTGTCTAGCTAAGATCGGGGCTCATCTGTTTTGAGTGTTGAGTTCCGGGTGTCTGGAGATAGCGGGCTAGGGCGTAGCTGCGACAGCGAGCAGGGAAGTAGGTAAATTACTTGTGCTCTGCTATGTGAAATTGCTTAGGCGATTTGTGTACAAAGTCTGTGTAGCTGTACTGGGGTTGCGCTGGTGTGTGTAGCTGAATTCTGGCTTACACACACGGCGTAGCGAGTACCCTGCTAACGGACTGTATACATTGCTAAGCGGCTGTTGTGTGCTTGTAACGCTGTGTATTGCTGACTCAGTGATTCATTCCTAGCGCTGTGCATAGTTGCTCATTGCTGCCATTGTTGTCTGGTGCTTAATGCTGTGTGCGTTGTTGCATAGGCAAGCAGCGGGCTTTCTCCAGTAACTAAGGACCCTGTTAATAAAACAACCCACCGAATCACATCATAATTGTTGTACTTGATTATTGTTGAATAAATTACGATCATTGTTGTTTGAGATTACCGACAATTCTGCTTCCGGTGTTTGTGTTTACAGGTTTATTGTGCAATTAATTAACAGAGATAAATAATCAACACTCATTCATAATCGGGCGGTAGATTTCCACCAAAACGGACCTGCACCCTTAGCCTTGAAGGTCGCTCTGAGTGATCTCTCGTCTAGGGAAGAGCCTTGGTTTGGGAAGATTGTCTTCACCCCACTAGGAGTCAGACTTATCCTAACAGACTTAGGTTGGCCCGGGGGTTCCCGCCACAATACTTTTAATGGGGGCGCTGTTCAAATTATACTATGTTACAGAATAGTGTAAAAATAGCACATCACCAATATAATGTTTTCGGGTGTCAGAGCAGGGGGAGTTTCAGATTTTTAAAAAGATATTTCTATGAAAAAAAAACTTGGGTGTCAGAGGGGGGGGGGGGGTCCCTTGGATATGTGACAGCATGTGACAGAATTGCAGCCGTGGCAGCTTTTTGGGTGCCATCACTTAAAAAAAAAAATGGTGGGCACAACATGCTTGTTACCACATATATTTAATCCGGTAACAAGCATATTAATCAAATTAGGTTTTGCCCTTCACAGACATTTAAACACTGTATACTCAGTGTGTTACCTCCCGAGTGAAAGTTGGAAAAAATCACTCGGGTGGGACTCAAACCCACGACCTCCCACCCGAGTGATTTTTTCCAACTTGCACTCGGGAGGTAACACACTGAGTATACAGTGCTTAAACGTCGGTAAAGGGCAAAACCTAATTTCCATCTTATACATGTAACAAGCATATTGTTGGCCATTTTGAAGAAAAAAAAAATAAAAAGTGATAACACCCAAAAATCTGCCACCGCTCACACTGCAAAGCTATCACACATTTTCCAACTCTAGATGTGCATACCTCGCCAAACATCGCCTTGAGCATTTGCTCCTTTCGATTATTTGATACCGGTGGCCCGATTTTTGGAGCGAAGCTGATAGCCAATAGTAGGCCCAACTAGAGATCCCAGCTGCCACAATAGACTGATCCATAATAGGCCCGCCCACTGCACACGTGGGTGACCAACACGTGATTCTTTCCATGCAACACTGTATGTTCGAGCCATGACCGTCATACATGTGTGCATGTATGTCGGATATTAGTCACCGCTGTGATTGGTCGCAGCACCGTTCAGCTGATAAGTGGATCGGTCTATTTATTGACGGGAGGTGCCAGTTGCAATTTCTCTCCTCCAATAATCAGTTGACCCAGTTCAACTGAATCTTCGCGTTACTTTTTCCAGCTCTGTAATCAATCAAACATATTGCTTGTCTTGTCTATCACCGATGTGATTCAACATAAATGGGCTAACTGCTCAAATGAATATAACAGCTTTGTCAATATGTTCACATTTGTACAGTGTTGCCTAGAGTAAGACAGTGTCACCATTTTTCAAATTAGCTCGATCCAATATTAATCAAAAGTCACCAACTTATGGTAGACAGTTTCTTAATATCTCCCTATCGAGTATCGTGATCAAACGGTTGTGCCTGTTTTTTTTTTTACTATTTTATTGAAAAGTGTAATATTCACTGAGCTGATACTTCAACAGGTTAGGTTTTGAACATTCTTCTTTGGATTTTGAGTGGTGTTATTATTGGCAACGGACAAAATGCATGAAAAGCAAATGATCCTATAGGGCCTATATATGCCTATAAAGAATGGTCACTGCACTAGAAAACAAAGAGTCTTGGAATATCTGTATACTTTTCGCGTTCCGAGTCCTGGTGCAGTGAAGTATTCTTCGAGTTTCTTTCCCTGTTCTGTCTCTCGCCTAGCCGGAATTCCGTTCTTCCCCTTCTCGTTATTTGAGCAGGACAAGAACAGATTCCTTTAATTAACAATTTCTTTTATGTTTTTCTTGTAGCTGTGACCTCGACAGACCTTTGGTCTTATGGGTGTACCAATTTAATTAAAATATAGAAAAAAGAAAGTACTGAAATGTGAAGTGGTTTATGAGATAACAAATGACCCGTTTCCTTACGTGGATAAGTTGAGGCACCAGAAGATTATGCGTGTTTTTTCTTGAAAAAAGTGCAAAATTCACTGGGCTGAAACTTCTTATAATTAATCATATTTTGAGCAGGATAAGAAGAGGTTCCTTTGATTAAAAACTTCCTTTCTGTTCTTCTTGTAGCTACAACCTCAGGCCTTTGGTCTTTTGGGAGTAAACTTAGACAAGAGAAAGTACAGACATGAGAAGCAGTTTATCAGATAACAAACAGCCCTTTTTCCTTTCCCACCAAAAACGACTTTAAAGTATCTCCAATATGGCCTATCCATTAACAGCACACTCACGAGCAGTCCGAAGGAACAAGCCTTATCAGGAAAAAGGCACTTAACAAAGACAGCATGACAAACAGCATGATCACATACACTGCATCAAGAAAAAAAGGGTTGATACATTTTCAAAGTCCAACACCCTCCCCCCCCCCCTCCCCCTTTGAGTATACATAACATGCTACAAGGCAACGAGAACACTACATGCCATTAAAACATTCGTCACGGAGTGCTCAGACACAGCCTGGTAACTCAGCTGCCTTTTCCGTCTGCTGTCCTCAAGTGCCAATATGTAAGATACACATCAGCGTTCTCGAGTGCACCAACATTTTCGATGATTCTGCTTTTAGCAAATACTGACATGTGAAATCTAACTGGCAGGTTTGTCACAGCTGGGTTTTTTTTAACAGTGAGAGAAGCGGAGGCTATAAGACTGAAACAAAGTGTGAATTTGTTTCATCTGTAAACAATTTTTCTACCACACTTCTTGGAACAGAAACAGTGCTCTTGCATAAAGCAGAACATTTTTGACACTACAAAATCTCTATTTTAAGTGTTAAAAATGGAGAGCAACAACAGCAGAGACGTGCCTACAATTGTGCCGACAGTGCATGTTGAAGATGAGTTATCGAGCCTGATTGCCATGACGATATACCTTGCATTGCTGGCCATTTTTGGTCTGGTCGGCAATGTGTTGGTGATCATCTCCGTGGTGATTTCACCCCAGCTGCGCAACACCTCCTACACCTTCATCGTCAATCTCAGCATTGCTGACTTGTCCGTCAACGTGCTGGTGGTCCCCACCATCTGCTACTCCTTATTCCACTATGGCTGGCCCCGCAGCCCGTTCTGGTGCCAGTGGATCAGCAGCATGTTCTTCCTGACGACCGGTATCTCTCTCCTGATGCTCATGGTCATCGCGTTCAGCCGCAACTGCCTGGTATCCTGCTCCCGCACGTCTTACAACAGGTACTGTGGCTGGAAAGGGGTTGCGGTCACCATCTCTGTGATCACGGTGGGTACCAGCATCGTGCTGGTGCTCATTCCGGTCTTCACCGGTGTAACAGTGGCCCATTACGACCCCGGCGTCCACTTCTGCTACTTGGACAACAAGGACGATAAGACCTTCTGGTACACCAGTGCCATGCTGATATATGGCGCCCTCACATGTTTCCTTCTCATTCCGTTCCTGTACTACAGGACATTCCGAACGCTGAACAAGAGCAAACGGCGACTGTGGGCAGTTCGACACGCCCAGAGCCAAAACGACCACAACAACAGCGACAACAGCCGCCGCAATCAACCCGTGCTGAACAGACAGCAATACTACATGCATCCAGCGGAGGTGCGCCTGACAAAAATGAGCGCTCTGATTTTCATGCTCATGGCAATTTGTTGGATTCCTCTCTGGACCGTTCATTTCTGCCGGCTAGGCACCGAGGTCCCATACAGCGTGCAGCGACTTGGAGTACTTCTTGTCTTGACAAACTCGTCCATTAACCCTTACATCTACGCCTGGCTCAATAAGCGTTTCCTCCGGGCATACAAACGAATTCTGTTGTGCCGTAGCCACCCGCAAGGCCGTGTTTCCCATTTGAATTTGTAAACAAAAAAAGAACAAGCTTGAGACTCCAAAAAAAGCTTTGTACAAAAGTACTTCAAATGTAAGTAACCGAGGACAGATTTAACATGTGTGTTAAATCTGTCAAAAAATGTGAAGTTGTATTTAAAGTGCTGTTAGATTCACAGATACCCTCCCAATCACTCATCCCATCACAGCTCTATCAATTCATCAAAAATAAGGTCAAAGCTGATAGTGATTTTTCATTTTGCAAATGTGAATAAAGTGCAGCACAATTCATCAAGATATGTTGAGGGGCTAGCTTGTGCTTCTGAAATCTTGGCCCACGAATATACTTTTCGGATGTTTCATCTGAACTCCGTCATGATTACACAAATAGAAGACAGTCAAACAATGTCTGAGAGACCCAGCATCTCTTAAGAACTTTGTTCAAGTTTTCTGGACAATTTGGGTGCAACGAGTTGAGGATGAAAGTTAGTATTAGCGCAGATACCCCTCCAATGTTGCTTTACAAATTACAAATAAAGAAAAAAAAATCTTGTTATTATAAGCTCATTCTCCCCTAAATGTTCATCTACGAAAAAAACAATTAAAATATAAGAGGTCACTTCGGTGTATTCTCAGAAAAAGGAGAAAGTTGAGCACTTTACCCCAGCCTTGCTTAAATTGAATGAAAAATGTCTTGCTTGTCTTCTCACGATTGCATTTTTTGGACACAAAGAGAGAAAGATACATACACCATGCTACAGGACATGTTCCCAAACAAAGGCATTTTCCTCATTTGTATAGGCCTTTCATAAAACCTCTACTTTTACTGTCCGCTACTTTTACCGGAAGCCCACAATTTTAAGCGGAGGTTCTGCTCCAAATAAATTAGCTAACTGGTCATTGCCTGCCACTAGGCCTGTACTTTGCCTCGTAGAGGTAATAAACTAATTTGCCCTGCGCCCAATTTTTCGCAATGCCATAAACTGCCTGCCAACAGAAAACTTCGTTAACTGTTGACGCACGCTATTGCTTTGGAAATGGGCTTTTTATCTTATAAAGCCAAACTTTTTCGTACTCAAATAAGGCACTATGGACAATTAACTACATGTAGACTCCTTAGATAATTTGTCTATTTTGTTTTTACACTTGGAACTATCATTCCATAAGGAGTGGTTCATGTGTTCATATTGAATGTAAGTCCCTACGCTTGTGAGCAGCAACAGCAATGGTCCACACAATTTTTTTTTTATCGTTGTCCGCAAGTTTTAATAGATTTTTAAAAGCTGCCCTAAAATGTCATGAACAGTTAATAATAGGTTAACCACTGCTACCGCAAGCCTGAGAGCGTTGGCTTGCATACGTCGGGTATACATTTCCACTTTTCCACAGATGTTTTTGTAGCTTTTTCGTATCTAGCAGTCAACACAGCAATGGGTTGAACTTGGCAGCAAATGTGATATGGATACTTACAACTAGACAGGATTTATAACAGCTGTTATAGACAAGTACTTGTGACAATTAAATTTCTGTAATGTAATTGTTGGTGCAAAACACGGATGGAGTTGCACGCTAATGATTGTTAAAAAAGCTTAGTTTGTTCTCAAGTCTTTAACCTTCCTGCTATCTGAACAGTCACAGATAGTCAAAAATGAATCCTCTTCTCCTGCCATGCCTTTTACATAGGCTAGTTTCCAACAGTCAGATCATACAAGCGTTTCAATCAAGCACTCTCAACATGGTCAACAGACAAAATAGAGATGAAACTGGCATATGGGAACAAAATCGGAAAATAGGCCGAACAAAAATACGTGTCCGAAATCTGGGCCGCTCTGCAGTTACACATGTACATGTACACACATATATGTACAATACACTTCATGCCCAATTTCCTGACACAGCCTCCTGTAAATATTACAATGAGAAAAATCTTCAGTGTTTTCATAAAATTAACAAGCTTAAATTACGGTCAGAGCAACGAAGTCATCTACAAAGAAGTTCACTTCTTACTTAAGAAAGTTGAGGAGAAAGTCCAAAAGACAAGGGCACCATTTATGACAACATTCAATCGTGTCCATGATTTATATTCCTCCACGATTATTCAACCAAACTCCGCTAACGTACGTGGGAAAAATCGGGCATTATCGTCTTTTCTTCCAACAACTGCCAATGAAATGTATCACTTACATTATGCTCTCTTCGCATATATCAGGCTGGTTTGATTGTTCATTGTGTAAAGTGGTGTAGAAATGATAAATCTAGTCTTCAACAAAGACCTAAATCTTGTCCAGTCAGGCTACTTGGACAGAAAATATGTTCAAGTGTACACAAACCAAGGCCTGCCCTCATTGTAAGTCTGGTTACAGGTACATGTATACATTTTATCGGATATAGAAGAGCTTCGAAGAGAGAGTTTCTGTGGTTACGGCAAAAATAAAAAAATAAACAGATGTTCAAAACTACTTCACAAAGAAGAGAAATGATATCATGTTGATTACATGAGTGTTACTTGTAAAAAATAAATTGTTGATTAATTTATCGAGCCAGCTGTTGCTGATCTGACGTCGATAATATTTGCTCAAAGTGAAAACAAAATTTGCATTCAGAAATGAAAAGAATGTGTTGATAAACAAGAGTGACAGTTTTATTTTGTAAATATTTGTGAAGCAAAAACATGATTACAACTTGAGAGAAATGCAGAAACTTTAGTTGTCGGGTGAATTTTCATGACTTTGGACAACAAACACGTCGACCGATTTTAAAAGACCGAAACACATGTCATCTTTAAATGTCCGCATACAAAATACATGACTGCTTTCATTAGAGTTGTTGGCTATTCGTAACAGTTACCGACTTCCAACAGTTGGGTGAAACGTTACGTAATCCTCCTTTTAATGATGGCATTCAAATGGCGCGTGATTTCTATTGTGACATTGCAGTGGCGATCCTTCTCGCATGCACAGAGCGATTCTTTTACAAAGAAAACATCCTCTTCAGCGCTGACTGACTTCAATAGGCCCATACTTAATTTGCATGTGACAGTTACAGACATACAGTCACCCCTTGACTGTTATGTGAAACTGTTGTACAACTGTTAGACCGGACTGTTGCGTATAAAGCAATCAAATTGCACTTAAGAACAGTTGTTGTAAGTTGCCACGAAAAGGTCTCTGAGTCCACTGAGGCATCCATCAATTATCCCCATTGCATTGCCTTCTGGGAGTAGTGGTCTCGTCATTGCCCATTCCTGGGTATTCTGCCATTTCACATGGCTTCGCTAAATCAAGGGGGCTTAAGGCCAAAAAAAAAAAGTCTCCGGTTTCTGGTATGCGCGTGCGTCGCCGTAGCCATGCGCGTCGGCAAAATGGAAAAGTTTTTTTTTCAATGAAAGATGATGTCTCAAAACCGCCAAACTCACTGGTTTGACTGGAATCATGCTGCTGCACAATTTTAACGTGTTTTTAGATTGGGTTATGGTCGAGAATAAGCTTTATGTGGCCTCTCTGGACTCCCATATATTTGCACTAAGTTTAGTCGGGCACCATTTGCAGTCATCAGCCGACATATGAAACAAAAAAATCAGGTAAAAAAAAAAAAAAGCCGCGTCGCCGCACCACTTTTTGGGCAAGCTCCATACCAGAAACCGGAGACTTTTTTTTGGCCTTAGAAGACAAACGAAGGACGCTCACAGGGGGAACGGAATGATAGAACGCGTTAAAGAGAATGAAACGAACTCCAGTGATGTGCACTGAATGAGACACAATAGCATGAATCTGGCAAAGGGACAGAGACAATGAGCATACAGGATGGAATAATACTTTATTTATTCAGATTAATTGGTAAAAACACCTGTCTCCCAAAAATACAACTATCCAATTAAAAGTAGTATACCAAATTTGATTAAAAACCGTCCAACAGAGTAAAAATACATTAACAACAATAATTCCCTTAATTACAATAATTCCCTGAATAATATGAAAAATCTGTGCGACAATTACATGTAGTCGTGTATATTATAATTATTTTGAGTTGCATTATAACAGTGTGTTAATTATCTCAAATTTCTGAAAGATTAACGAAATACAAAGCCAATTGCAAGACTGAGCAGGAAAATATATACTAGAAAAACTGCATAGTTATATTTCTACAGAAATTCTATTGATAGAGGATAATCGTTGTGTTTTCCAAGCTTTTGATAGCATTTTTTAATACAACCGTTGAATGTCAATGAATCGAAAAATAAAAGTTTTGAATTTATGGGACGGAGCAGCGTTTTGTGCAGTTTCACTTTGACGTAGGCCATGATGACATTTCATGTCAGATTGACTTATGCCTGAAACTTGAGCAGCCTTCGTATTTCTTAGACCTCATGGGTAGACTTTATGCGTATAGCGGCCATCTTATAGGGCATCCTTCGTTATTTTAATTCAGTAACAATGAGTGCTTAAAAGGTTTATTTCTGGTATGTCACAGCAAGACAAATGTATTGCCTTGATGACTGCTACCTATAAGGTCCATATACGCCTTTTTTGAAATATTGTGGGCAAGAGAGAGCGCCTTTTTTTCAGTGGGTGACCTCTCTTGTATATTCACCCTGCAAATGTATTATATTATGTTATTCATTTTAAAAAAATTATTTCATTGAAAATAAAACATGACAAAAAATAAAAAGCCCCGCTTACTCCTTTTTTTTTCAAACACCCGGACGAGAAACATGGTTTTTTTTATTCGGCCTAAGGAGCCAGCCGACAGGTTGCTTGTATGAGGCTGCATCCTAAGGCAAAAAAAAAAAAGTCTCCGGTTTCTGGTATGCGCGCGCGTCGCCGTTGCCATGCACGTCGGCAAAATGAAAACTTTTTTTTTTCAATGAAAGATGATATGTCTCAAAACCGCCAAACTCACTGGTTTGACTGGAATCATGCTGCTGCACAATTTTAACGTGTTTTTAGAGTGGGTTATGGTCGAGAATAAGCTTTATGTGGCCTCTCTGGACTCCCATATATTTGCACTAAGTTTAGTCGGGCACCATTTGCAGTCATCAGCCGACACTAGAAGCAAAAAAAATCAGGTAAAAAAAAAAAAAAAAGCCGCGTCGCCGCACCACTTTTTGGGCAAGCTCCATACCAGAAACCGGAGACTTTTTTTTTTGGCCTAAAGGGCAGCAATCTCGAAATAATATTACATTTATAATCTTCATTTTCACCAAACATTTACGAAAGAATAGCATATGAAGGATATTACCATATTTTTCGGTTTTCATTTTTTTTTTTTTTACATTTTTAAATATTATTCATCAAGGCACACCATTGCACGAAGTTTCAAAGCTTCAAGAGCTTAATTGAACTGGGCTCAAATGCGAGCAAAAACGTTTTCACGAAGTAACACTCTCCTAGTTTGAACGCGCTGACCTCCGTTTCCACGAAGTAACACTCACCTAGTCTTGTGATACATTGAAGCGTTCTACTTATGAAAAAAAAAAGTTTCGCACCTTTTTTTGGTTTTACAAACTATCACTCACCTTTTTCTCTTATTTCTTGTTAATTTAATATACAAACGCGTGAAAACCAGCAAATTTAATAAATTTAATTCATCAATTGTCCACAACGAGAAACCCAACTGAAAATACTATGCAGTTTTGACGCAAAGTGTTGTTCTAGAAAACGTTCAACTTTAGATGCCGTTTACTCCGATTGCTAGGTTTTACTGGTATGTACATGAGTGTTACTTCGTGGTGTCACTGACGAAATAACAACAGATTGTTGATTGGGGAAAGTGCTTCTCCTCGCCTTCCCGGGATTATAACTTCCCTTGAATATCAAATATTGTGAGAAAATCTTCACGGGTAACTCCAAAGTAAACAATAGACGAAGGTGTTCAAGTTAATCATTAAAAACATCTCTTCCTTGTCTCGGTTCATAAAATGAACAGAGCACTGTAAATGTCCCCAAAATTATCTTCACACGCGCAAGAGAGATAATTTGATACGTCTGCTTGTCTTGTAAAGCAAGGCCAGTATAGCTGCGTCATCCATATATATTTGCTTTGAGCTCAATGATTAACAATTAGTCACAAATACTACATGGTACAACTCGTTTTGCTCCCATTTAATGGCCCAGTATCGGCTCTGTGTGATTTGCTATTGCCATGTTTGAGGTAAGCGTGCCACTGTTACGTCATGGGCTGTATCAGATTTCACCCAGTGCTCTGTTCGGAACATTTTATGAACCGAGACAAGGAAGAGATGGTTTTAAATGATTTACTTGAACACACTGATCGATTTTTACTTTGACTGGAGTGCGTTTTCACACTTCAAAAGTGCACTTTTCACACTTCAAAACAGAAATCATTTTACTTACATTTATATATTTTTTAAATAAAAACATAGTGTATTGCTATCAGTTCACATCGGAAATTTAGTGGTGGAAAAAAAGAAGGCTGAATGCCTCATACAGGCATGACCGCTTATGAAACTAATTAAAGGATTGAAGAATCTTAATCCTCCAACTAACCATACTCCCTGTTTTTGACAAGGTTTTCCAAGCCGAGTGAACCACAGGATTGCTGGGGTTGATGTTTAGAAGGCCGATTCGCCGTAATGATCACCACTTCAATGTCACAATAGAAATCACGTGCCATTTGAATGCCATCATTAAAAGGAGGATTACGTAACGTTTCACTTAACTGTTGGAAGTCGGTAACTGTTACGAATAGCCAACAACTCTACTTAGAACTATCACTAGGAACTATAACATCTGTTGCCATCTCTGTTAAGTATTTTTTTTTTATGGATTGTATGTAAATGCACCTAAATAAATTCATTCTTACGCTCCTCACCATTGAAAGAATAGTGTTGTTTAGTAATTACCCTGTTCGAGTGCTTAAACGCAAGTAGAGGGCGCTTTCCGAGCACTTTGGAAAGCCCCATTGGGAAGGACAGCCCGTGTGCGACTACTGGTCCGTGCGTATATGAAGCGAAGTACAAATGATTATTTTTTATACACAAACGAAACAGTAGCGCCTTGCATGAGCATTGGGCGTCACTTGGATGTCCGTCTGTGTGGCCTTCCCCAACTCTCTCTTTGCACCATTGATGGGGTACTTGTGACTTTTTAGCCACCGGATAGCAGCTCGACAAATCATCTTTCTCTCCGTTAGTCCATTAGTTAGTTAGTAACAAACGTTGACATTGTCTATTAATTGCTCTTACAACCGATTTCAACCAAACTTTGTCAAAAGTAGCAGTAGCCCAGCCGCAACATGTCACATGACCAAACTGGGGTCAAAGGTCATCATGGGGTCACTGGGGTCAAAACCCTAAAAACAAATTTTACACAAAACACTACTCCTTCAACAAATTAAATGGCACAATCTCGTGACTCATGCATGGACACCAAAATCATTGGCCCGCAGCTTCCAAGATATTTCCGATCATTTTATGTTCATGAAAAATACAAAATGATATAAAAGTTCTGTTTTTAAAGTCCATTTCGTGCCTCCCTCCCAAAAAATGAGACCCCTTTAAGTGCAACCTGCAAATTAGCCCCCACTTATGCTACTTACCACTGTAGCTGATAGCCTTAGCTTTGGTGCTAATTTGATATTGTCTACAAATAGCGATTGACTTGAAAGCTCACCTTGCTTTGGGGAACTTCTTCGCCATGTACAAAACAGCTTGTTCGACGTCATTGATCATTTGCGGGAGGGTACCTGTAGAAAAATAGTTTTTAGTATTACAAAAGCTGGCTGTTTTAATAACCCTTTCAATCTTCTACCTTAGGATTACCCTAGATTATATTTTGAGTATAAATATGCCTAACCCAGCCAAGCCCATCGCCACCCAGCCCAGCTTAACCCAGCCAAGCACAGCCCAGCTCATCCAAATCAAGCCCCGCCCAGCCCAGCCCCACCCAGTCCAGCCCGACCCAGCCTAACCCAACCCAGTCCAGACCGATCAAGCCCAGCCCAGCCCCACCCAGCCCCAACCCAACCCAACCCAACCCAGCCCAGATGATCAAGCCCGTCCCAGCTCAGCCCCTGACCCAGCCAAGCCCAGCCCCACCCAGTCCAGCCCAACCCAGCCTAACCCAACCCAACCCAGACGACCAAGCCCATCCCAGCTCATCCCCATCACGCCCCGCCCAGCCCAGCCCCACCCGGTCCAGCCTAACCCAACCCAGCCCAGACGACCAAGCCCATCCAAGCTCATCCCAATCAAGCCCCGCCCAGCCCAGCCCCACCTGGTCCTGCCCAATCCAGCATAACCCAGCCCAGACCAACAAATTCCATCCAAGCTCAGCACCTGACCCAGCCCAGCCCAGCCCCACCCAGCCCAGCCCAGCCCAGCCCAGCCTAGCCTAGCTCCGCTCAGCTCATCTCAGCTCAGCCAAACTCAGCCCAGCCATATTCAATTACATGTAAATTGACAATTACCCATTGGTGCAATTGTGTAGTTCACCACTGCTACTACAGCTCCTTGTTTTGCAGGATGCCAGGCAAATAATCCATAATCATCCTTGCTATTACAAAAAAACAAACAAAATGTATCCAAATTTAGTTTTAACATTATGTGAATGCATCCAACAGTGGCGCACCTGGGGGGGGGGGGGGCTTAAGCTCCCCCCCAAGAGGTTGTCAATTTTGTGGGGCTGTTTTGGCAACCAGCCGAAACAGCCTTTGTTTTCGTTAAGATTTTTTTTTCTTTTTCTTTTTCAGCCTTTTTTGGTTCCCGGCATTTGGCCACTAAAATCAATCCGATTGCCTTTATACTTGGCACACACTTAGATCAGCACCTGCCGCTGTGTGCCGAACATTGACGTCATCATGACGTCATCACGAGTCACGTGACGTCACAATATAGGTGTAGTTTTTGAAGGCATTTATCTCCAGAACTACAGGTCCGATTTGGTTGAAACCTGGTATGTACCTATACCGGGATGTGTTATAGATGAAAATTGAAGTGACGTCACGATGACGTCATCATGGGTCATGTGACGTCATGTTAAAGATTAATGGATGTAATTTTTGAAAATAAATATAAAATTAACCGTGAGAGACCTGAACTTGACGTTTGCGGGAATTGATAGAATAATCCAGGGTCTTCATTTTTTAATATTACGTGCAAAATCATGTGACCCCTCCTTCCGGTTGAAACCGGAAGTGCCTTTTGTAATTTATAATTGGTAAAAGATGTGAACTTGCTTTCAACGATGTATGCTGGCTAAGTTGTTCTTTACACACAAAAATAACGGTGACGTCATAAAATGTTAGAGCGCCCTCTAGTGGCAGGTTATTAAAGATGATTATAAGTGAAAATTGATGTGACAATGTAATATTTTTTTTTTTTGGTAATTTTTTTTTTAGTCCCACGATTTTACCTTGGTGATATGTATGTGGCCTACTTTCGAGTAGTATAATAGGGGTGTAAGTGGCGCTTAAAAAAAAAAAATTTGAGCCCCCCCCCAAACCAAATCCTGGTACGCCACTGGCATCCAAAAGTATTCTTTGCAAGGGAATGCGGGGTTAGTGCTGTAATTATCTAATATAGTTCTTTGGTTCCACTTTCGAGAACAATATTCAAATGTTTGCCAATATTCACGACTGATTTTTGAAAAATTGCAAAACAATTTGCAACGCCTACATGAATTGAACACAGCTCACAATATGAAAATGTTGCTTCACTAACATAACTGAAAAAGCAATTAATTGTACATCGCTCGCAGACTATCTATTTGTGTCACTGGTATCCTGCCTGATTTTGTACTTACCTTGAGGCTTGCCAGTACCCACCATGAATACTGATGAGAACCGGGGAATCTGTGAACCGACCAAAAGAAAAAGTTTGGTTTGCATCTCAGTAAAAGATGAAACATTTTTTTTACGGCTTTGTTTAAAGGGAATATACAATGTACATCATTTGCTTTTGCTGTAATTTTCAGAAATGGATGGAATTGGGGGGTTGGAAATATATAGCAAATATAGTTACACTGACTTTTTTGAGGTTTTGGATTCGAAAATGCTATAAAAACCAAGAAAAACAATCATTTTCCTGTAGTCTGGTTCCCTGACTCCATTTAAGAAGAAACAGAGCAGTTTACATATATTGGGGAATTGTAAGGTCAGGGACCCAGTCTAGCTGGCTTGTACCCATTCATAGGTGTGTAATCGATTGCAAACAAGTGCGATGGTCAACTGGGGCCAGTATTTGAAAAAAAGCCAGTTTTTTTCCAACGCTGATCAGCCAATCAGCGTTGGAAATTGATACAAAAATACCACTTTTCTTGAAAATGACAGTATACCAGGTGCCATGATTTTACAGGATGCTTTACACTGTCATTCACTAACAGTCCAGCAAGGTATTTCAAAATGATTTGGTAGTTTTATTTTTTGATGTTTGCAAATGTTGTATTTTCCCTTTAACAAAGATGTGACATTGGTAGGGCTTTTTTGTTTTGTTTTGTTTTTGTCTTTTGCATGGGCATAATAAAATTCTGCACTAAGGCTACGACATTGGTAGAATTGACAGAGCGTCTCACGTCGTTAAAGTTTATGAAACATAATTATGCAAATTTTAAGATAAAATGGCTTTTATATTGTTTTTTTGTTGTTGGTCTTTTGCATGGGTATAATAAAATTCTGCACTGAATTTATGATAACGGTAGACTTAAAGGAGCCTCTAACGTCGTTGGAGTTTATGCAACATATGCTGATTTTATCATAAAATGGCTTTTATGTTATTTTTTTCTTTTGCATGGGCATAATAAAATTCTGCACTGAGTTTACGACAGAAAAGTTTGTGGCTACACGCTGTAGAAATATTAATTTTCAGCATTCAGATATGAGAGGAAAACTGGCGAGGCGCGATTTCAATCGGTTATGGCGAAAAATATCAGAAAATGGACGAGAATATTAGAATTGAATTCATGGTCAGAATCGGAATCGGTAGACTTGAGGGAGCCTCTATGACGTGTTTGGAGCTTAATATATGCAACATTTGATTATCTCAATATCAAAAATAAAATGGCTTATGTCTTTTGCATGCATGGGCTTCCTAAAATTCTGCACTGAGATAACGAAAAAAAAGTTTGTGGCTACACTGTCGAAATATTAAATTCTGTGCATAAAGGTACGAATTAAAGAATCAGTGTTGATATGCGAGTTACGCCGAAAGAAATCAGAAAAAAGACTAGAATATTAGTATTGAATGCTTTGTGTGATTTTGTACAAATTCCTGGATCCTCCCCTGGGTGTATTCTTATAAGAGCTGTAATTTTGCAGTCCCTGGTGAACAAATATGATGACATTATGTGGTAGCGGTACTATTATTGTAAGCAGTCGCTTTCTTATTTGTTCCAACAAATATAGTAAAGCGTAGTAAAATGTAGTAAAATGCTTCCACTTCCTGGTTATCTTCAGTTTTTATTGCACTTCCGGTAACACCGGAAGTAAAGGTCAAGCGGTTTCGTGTCCGGGAACAAGAAATGTTACTCAAGGCATAGTCTACAACCTCAAGAAAAAAACGAACACGATACTCTATTGAGTTCAAAAGATATAGCTCAAACTATTTTGTCAATATTTGCCCTTCCATCACTTTGCCCTTACATTACGCCATGATGACATAACCAAATTTATAACATCTTCGCAACATGGTACAAATTCACACTAGGTTAAATGGTCATCCCGTAAACCGTTCGGAAGAAATTTTGCTTTGTTTTAATTTCAGGCTTAAGTCTTAATTTTGAATTCACGTAACTTTGACCTTCCGGCAGACCCGGAAGTAAAGGTCAAGCGAGTTCACGTACACGACAAAAAAAGTTTATCAACTAATAGTCTATCTGATTGCAAAGTTGAAACGTAATTGATCACTTTGTTTAAGAGTTATGGGTGAAAGTATTTGGCCACTTTTTCCTCTCAAATCGCTTGTAATTTGACACCCAATGACGTCATCATGACGTCAGAGTAATATGCACCACTTGGGATGAGGGTCGATATATGTTGAAAGTTACAAGTTCATACCGTATACCGTTTAGGAGAAAAGCCGCGGAAACTTATTGTCCGGAAAAAAAGAAAGAAAGAAAGAAAGAAAGAAGATTAATCGTAACAACTCCAATCAGTGGTCGGGTTGTGCCCGACCACTCAAAAATAGAGCTCTTATAAAAACATGACAGCCTACACGATTCAGCTCATTTCATCTGCGTTCATCACAAATGTATGTACTTGGACTGATGGGCAGGCTAATGTTAGAAAAAAGAATGCAAGAGAGTACCGAAGTGAACACATCACGAGCACAAGTATGTGTGTAAAAGACATTACTGCATGATTCAGCCCGTGACCCAACACGCGCGCGTACTACATTCGTTTGCACTACACTTCCCGGTTCTAAATGCCGTCACACTTCGGTACTCTATAGAACGTGTATAAAGTACAAGATTTTATGAGAATAAAGCACATTCAGGCACCATAAGATCTGCAACATGTGTAACGTCCTACTTGTTGTGCATTTATTTTGTGTCCTGACTGGGCCCATGCAATCAAGGACAGTAAGGCCAAAAAAAGAAGTCTCCGGTTTCTGGTATGGAGCTTGCCCAAAAAGTGGTGCAGCGACGCGGCTTTTTTTTTTCTACTTGATTTTTTTGCCTCAAATGTCGGCTGATGACTGCAAATGGTGCCCGACTAAACTTAGTGCAAATATAAGGGAGTCCAGAGAGGCCACATAAAGCTTATTCTCGATCCTAACCCCATCCAAAAACACGTTAAAATTGTGCAGCAGCAGGATTCCAGTCAAACCAGTGAGTTTGGCAGTTTTGAGACATCATCTTTCATTGAAAAAAAAACCTTTTTCATTTTGCCGACGCGCATGGCTACGGCGACGCGCGCGCATACCAGAAACCGGAGACTTTTTTTTTGTTGGCCTAATGGGTATTTCCAAAGAAAAGAAAGCATTACAATTTACAAAATACTGCAAATTAATGACTTTATGAAAATAAAATTGCTGACCTCAACTTCCATTCAATCGATCACACAGATAACAATTGGGTAGATTCAAACACGGGAGTCTGTGATTAGACTAGTCAGTGTTTGGTACCAAGATGCTCACATAAAAAGTGAACATGGACTGGCGAGACTTACATGCTCTAGTAGTAGAGGGCAAGGATTCAAAGTGAAACATTTTGGTCTGTGGCAGTCAAAAGAGATGGGTTCGATTCCAATCAGGGTAAAATTTCATAGAGCTTCTAATTACACACCAATCCAGGCATGCTTTCAATTCTATCATGAAGGCCCCCTTCAATGGCAAGAGCAACGTGCTAGCTATTCAGACAATCCGTCACAGGGCAGTCGCTTTGTACAATAGCATGCACAATGGTTTCTCCATTGAAGGGGGCCTCGTTTAAAACCCTCCTACTATTTAAGAGGTCACAAACGGTCAAAATGTTCTTCCTCACCTCCTGGCCTACTGTGTACAAACCAATGGGGGTCTTGACCAATATTGACCCAAGTAATAACAACGGTTTCAAAGCATGTTTCCATTGGAGGGTTATTAAAGAAACTTATGGAGAACGAAACTTACTTGGGACAGAAAAAATTTTGACCAAAACAAACACCACCTTATTAGTAATTTTCTTAGCAGTATTTCTGCACATTGATAGGAATCTTCCTAGTTATGTCTTTTAGCAAGTCACTTTACTGCAATTGCAGCATTTTTTTCTTCCTCTACCATCCTTAACTCATGTATCCATAGTTCATGTGTGACAAACCTTCAGTTTGATGCGGCGGCAGATAAAGATCCAACTTTTGGAATTTGCCCTCTCCATAGTTAATGTTCAACTCGTGGGCTATGCACTTCTTTATTGACTTGGTTTCTGCACAAAACAAGAGTATTATTTAGGCTTTACATAAGGGCCCTTCTCAATTCATATCTGGGACGAGTTCCGGACGAGTTGCAGTTAGCATCATTCACTTTGTCCGGAAGAAGCTCTGCATTTGTCCACGGACCATTTACACATTGTCCAGGGAAATTTTCATGAGCAACTGTCAGACTCGCCAATACTGATAACTTCATTGCAGGAAGATTGCGGGGAAGTTGTTCAGAATATTATACCCGATACAATGTCTGCAATGTCAGAACTCGTCCCAGATATGATTCGAGAAAGGGCCCTAAATAGTATACTATTACTAGACCTTGGTCGACTTAAAGCAAAAAACTACTCTCGCCATTTCTTCAAAAAAATATCTTGCAGCTTAAACGTTAACTGTGACTATAGACGTAAAATGTTAGCAATGAAAGGGATTAGTTACATATGTGGATATTTGATGGTTTTCGTTTTAATTTATGAGGCTTACGAATGCATCAGTGTTAAGAAGTCCCTTACAACTTTAGTTACAAGCCCATACCAAGTCGTCCAGACGATCCAATCATCAGTCCCAAGTCAATTCACAAGCTCTTCAAATGATCTGTGGCAAAGGCATTTCTTCTATTGTTCATTCCCTGTAACGGAGTGTTCATACTTCATGGAAATTTCAGTGGGAAGCGAATTTGTTAGGATACCCGCAAACATCACAATGAAACTTCAAGTGTTGACGTCTTGAAATTCGCTTCGCTTTCACTATGAGCCGGCCTGTACTTGTGACTTGACCTGTGACTGAACTTTTGATTTACTAAATTGAAGATACAATTGGGGTTCACCTTGTAGATACGGATGGGGTTCTTCCTTGCTCTATCCTTAGGTAACATCCGTCACCTAACCTCCCCCCCCCCCCCCCCACCCCAAAAAAATATTTTAAAAGGTAATTTCTTCCCATGCAAATCAGTTTAACCATAGAATATACGGACTCACCACTGGCAATTGTGGTCAGGAAATGCTCCACTATATTAGGGAATAAATGTAGACGGTTGCTCCAATGAGAGGGAGAGACCAAATTATCAAGCTCCTACATTGTAGATAAAAAAATATTTAAAAAAATTACTATCAAATTAACCATCTTATTTGTTTGACAGTCACAGACAGTCAAAAAATTCAATCCTGTTCCCGAGCCATGCCTTTCACACAGGCTAGTCACCAACAGTCAGATCATATCTTATGTAGACATAGCTTGAGTTACTCCAGCTCTAATGCCTATCGCATTATGCGATAGGCATTAGAGCTGGAGTAACTCAAGCTAATGTAACCACTGTGAAATTCCACCAACAGACAAAAGCATGTGACTGGTGGGCACAGCCGGCTTATCAATTTCCTGCAGTCAAAGATTTCATAACAATCACAGCCAGTCAATCCTGCTTTATGAAGACAGGGTCAATCAACTAGTCAAAGACAGTCACTTGATTTCTTTTGACTGCTGGGCTGGTCTTGTATGAAATTGACAGCCAGAGAGCGAGGTGTCTGAATATTTAAAAACGTAGGCCCAACTCGTAAATGGCGTAAGGGCTGCATGCATTTGTGTGCATTTTTCTAATATCCATGCCTATACTAGCGGTGTGAAGTTGGTTACTTATTCCTCGTTCCTTGTTCGAAATCCGCACGCTAAACACTAAATGTACAAATCATGCATAGAGTGTATCCAAAGCTGCATATACACATTCGCAAACGACTCATAGACTGGTTTCCTATCCCGCTAGGCCCAGGAACACTTTGTTTTGCCACACATTTTCGTACAACAGAGACCTCTTTTAAGCATGAAGAACACTTTAGACCGGGAAAGGCTGGATGAAGAGGTATGCATGAGGACCTGGGGAACTGGAAAATAATGGGTCTGACCTGGTCCAAGGGGTTTCAGTTTTTTTTCATATTTTTGAAAAAGACAAATCTACGGCGATTTTAATGCACGTTTTCCATATGTTTGACAAACATATGGAAAACGTGCATTAAAATCGCCGTAGATTTGTCTTTTTCAAAAATATGAAAAAAAAACTGAAATCGTCTTGCATCCTCCTACATCCAGCCTTGCCCGGTCCAAGCCGCGTTCTTCTTGATTAAAAGGAATTTCTTTGAGAGCGCCGATTTTGTACACAAACTTTGTGTACAAAATCGGCGCTCTCAAAGAAATTCCTTTTAATCAAGAAGAACGCGGCTTGGACCGGGCAAGGCTGGATGTAGGAGGATGCAAGACGATCTCAGGAACTAGAAAAAAATTAATCTGACCTGGTCCAAGGGGTTTCAGTATTTTTTAAATATCTTTGAAAAAGACTTAATCTACGGCGATTATGGTAATCCTTACTTTTAGGACACCTCTATTTTGTACGAGTTCTGTTCAAAACTGACTTTTGCAGAGGCTGGATGTAGGAGGATGCAGGAGGACCTGAGGAACTGGAAAATAGTGGGTCTGACCTGGTCCAAGGGGTTAAAATATTTTTTTCATATTTTTGAAAAAGACTTAAATCTACGGCGATTTTAATGCACGTTTTTCCATATGTTTGTGTACATAATCGGCGCTCCCAAAGAAATGCCCCTTTAAGCATGAAGAACGCCTTGGACCGGGCAAGGCTGGATGTAGGAGGATGCAGGAGGACCTGGGGAACCTAAAAATAATAAGTCTGACCTGGTCCAAGGGGTTGGATTTTTTTTTCCATATTTGTGAAAAAGATTGAAATCTACGGCGATTTTAATGCACGTTTTTCCATATGTTTGTGTACATAATCGGTGCTCTCAAAGAAATTTCCCTTTAAGCACGAAGAACGTCTTGGACCGGGCAAGGCTGGATGTAGGAAGATGCAGGAGGACCTGAGGAACTTGAAAATAGTGGATCTGACCTGGTCCAAGGGGTTAAAATATTTGTTTCATATTTTTGAAAAAGACTTTAAATCTACGGCGATTTTAATGTACGTTTTTCCATATGTTTGTGTACATAATCGGCGCTCCCAAAGAAATATCCCTTTAAGCATGAAGAACGCCTTGGACCGGGCAAGACTGGATGTAGGAGTATGCAGGAAGACATGGGAAGCTGGAAAATAGTAAATCTGACTTGGTCCAAGGGGTTGGAGTATTTTTTTCATATTTTTGAAAAAGACTTAAATCTACGGCGATTTTAATGCACGTTTTTCCATATGTTTGTGTACATAATCGGTGCTCTCAAAGAAATGTCCCTTTAAGCACGAAGAACGTCTTGGACCGGGCAAGGCTGGATGTAGGAGGATGCAGGAAGACATGGGAAGCTGGAAAATAATAAGTCTGACCTGGTCCAAGGGGTTTCAGTATTTTTTTTATATTTTTGAAAAAGACTTAAATCTACGGCGATTTTAATGCACGTTTTTCCATATGTTTGGGTACATAATCGGCGCTCCCAAAGAAATATCCCTTTAAGCATGAAGAACGCCTTGGACCGGGCAAGGCTGGATGTAGGAGGATGCAGGAGGACCTGGGGAACTTGAAAATAATAAGTCTGACCTGGTCCAAGGGGTTGAATTATTTTTTCCATATTTTTGAAAAAGATTGAAATCTACGGCGATTTTAATGCACGTTTTTCCATATGTTTGTGTACATAATCGGTTCTCTCAAAGAAATGTCCCTTTAAGCACGAATAACGTCTTGGACCGGGCAAGGCTGGATGTAGGAGGATGCAGGAAGACATGGGAAGCTGGAAAATAATAAGTCTGACCTGGTCCAAGGGGTTTCAGTATTTTTTTTATATTTTTCAAAAAGACTTAAATCTACGGCGATTTTAATGCACGCTTTTCCATATGTTTGTGTACATAATCGGCGCTTCCAAAGAAATATCCCTTTAAGCATGAAGAACGCCTTGGACCGGGCAAGGCTGGATGTAGGAGGATGTAGGAGGATGCAGGAGGACCTGGGGAACTTGAAAATAATAAGTCTGACCTGGTCCAAGGGATTGAATTATTTTTTCCATATTTTTGAAAAAGATTGAAATCTACGGCGATTTTAATGCACGTTTTTGAATATGTTTGTGTACATAATCGGTGCTCTCAAAGAAATGTCCCTTTAAGCATGAAGAACGTCTTGGACCGGGCAAGGCTGGATGTAGGACGATGCAGGAGGACCTGAGGAACTGGAAAATAGTGAGAGTGACCTGGTCCAAGGGGTTTCAGTATTTTTTTCATATTTTTGAAAAAGACTTAAATCTACGGCGATTTTAATGCACGTTTTTCTATATGTTTGTGTACATAATCGGCGCTCCCAAAGAAATGCCCCTTTAAGCATGAAGAACGCCTTGGACTGGGCAAGGCTGGATGTAGGAGGATGCAGGAGGACCTGGGGAACTTGAAAATAATAAGTCTGACCCGGTCCAAGGGGTTGGAATATTTTTTCCATATTTTTGAAAAAGATTGAAATCTACGGCGATTTTAATGCACGTTTTTCCATATGTTTGTGTACATAATCGGTGCTCTCAAAGAAATGTCCCTTTAAGCACGAAGAACGTCTTGGACCGGGCAAGGCCGGATGTAGGAGGATGCAGGAAGACATGGGAAGCTGGAAAATAGTAAATCTGACCTGGTCCAAGGGGTTGGAGTATTTTTTTCATATTTTTGAAAAAGACTTAAATCTACGGCGATTTTAATGCACGTTTTTCCATATGTTTGTGTACATAATCGGCGCTCCCAAAGAAATGTCCCTTTAAGGATGAAGCACGCCTTGGACCGGGCAAGGCTGGATGTAGGAGTATGCAGGAGGACCTGGGGAACTGGAAAATAATAAGTCTGTCCTGGTCCAAGGGCTTTCAGTATTTTTTTCATATTTTTGAAAAAGACTTAAATCTACGGCGATTTTAATGCACGTTTGTCCATAAGTTTATGTACATATAATCTGCGCTCCCAAAGAAATGTCCCTTTAAGCATGAAGAACGTCTTGGACCGGGCAAGACTGGATGTAGGGGGATGCAGGAGGACCTGAGGAACTGGAAAATAATGGGATTGGCCTGGTCCAAGGGCTTTTAGTTTTCGTCAGGACCGGCGCCCTCTTTTTAAGCTCCTTACATTATGAAAAAGTTTTATTTATAGTAAATCTTCAGAGAAGCCTACATCAATGACAAGATAAAATCTGTTTCAGTACTAAAACATGTAAATGTGGATCTCCCAAAAATAATTGCACAGTTCCAAATTATGTGCTGTCAAGACTTGAAGACGGACTCGTCCATTGATTTTATTTAACATAAAGCCTCTTATAGGTTTTCCTGGCCAATTTCGCAGAAATAGCATCCGAATTCTTTTTGATATTGGCCAATTTGAAGCGACATGTCTCGTGGTTCGTATTAGATTTCAGTCGTTCAAATTCGTTTTAAAACCTTACATTTTCATGTTGAACACATGCTTAATTGAAGTTATGTCATTCGATTTGATCATTCAATTTCGAAGTCGGTTTGCCATTTGGTTTAGAGTTATTTGCATGAGATTCTTGTTTTTGTTTTCATTTCCGCGCATTCTATTTAACACTTTTCTCATTCAAAATGAAAGTCAACGGAGGAATAATTACAGATGCCAGTCTTTTTATTTCTTTCACCTTTTCATTATTTCTGTTTCATATCGTGGTCCACTTTTGTGTCCCCGTCTGCCAGATCTCAGATACGTTGCTACAATTGACCTGGCAGTAGAAATCTGCAGTGCAAGATAGTTTTGGGCATCAAACGACCAGGATCAACAATTGAAATTCTCATCTAATGCCCATGAGCTGGCATATATTAATTGGTATTTCTTGTGATTCAATCTATTACAGTTTGCATAGTCATCAGATTAGTGACAAAGTCTTGTGGGAGACACTTTTTATAACTATATTTCCAAATTGGAAAAAAAAAACACTAACAAACGACGGAAGACATGGACCTATTTCGAATTACTTTGCTTATATACTTTTCACATGCTTGCTTACTGGTGAATTCGAATGACCAGACTTTCACAGCTGGAAGCTCCGGCGAATTTGGATGCTCGTTCGTGCAATTTTAATTTGAATGCCCTGTTTTTGAAATTGCATGATTAAAATGCG